AAATACTATCGTATTGGAGATTAATTTTCAACAGAAGACTTTTAGGACATAAAGATTGGCACAGAAATCTTTGGCACAGTATGACATATATTTTACCTTTTTAAAGCTTCTTCCTTTTTCCTAATTTTGGATGATAATCTATATAATTTTAAAGTCTGAAAAAATTGAAATGTGAGGTTCTCCCTCCTAACGATATATTTTAATCACCCAGGGAAGCATTTAAAAAGTGCTTATTTGGGGATGCTAATGTAGCTCAGTTTGTAGACCGCGTGCTGAGCAAGGGCAAAACACTGCATTCGATCTCCAGCACAGTAGGCTATGGCAGCACATGTCTACTCCCAGCACTCAGGAGGTGGAGCAAGAAAGATCAGCAGTTCAAGGTCGTCCTTGACTGCTGTGTAGTGAGTTCAAAGCCAGTCTGGGATGCATAAGAATCCCTTTCTCAAAAAAAAAAAAAATTAATAATAGTACTTATTTTGGTTCATTGGTCTAGATGAGCATGTTTACAAAACTCCCTAGGTGATTTTAATGGCTGTTGTCAAGTCTGATTTCTCTCTTCCTAAATGTGGAGTTAGTTATGCTTTCTTTTTTCTTTATTTCTTTCCAGTCCTGGGGATTGACTCTAGAGCCTTATTAATGAAGTGAGGCAAGTGCTCTGTCTGCTGTTGATCTATAGTCCCAGCCCTTAGTGAATGGTTTCTGACAAAGAAAATGTAGTGGATGGATATGGCACTATACAACACGTGAGATAGGTTAGAAAAGTCAGTTTATCTGGTTCTCTCATGGGCTGCTTGCCTATGATGCCCAGTCAGTATGATATGAGGAAGCCAGCCATGTTTTACCTTACAGCCTCAGGCTTTGACACCTTGTAGCAGATGCCCTACAAAAGAGTAAGCAATCCTTCCAAGGACTCTAGTCATTGAGGCCTTTATTCGATGTCAGACCTCTGTGATTGTACATTTACAAGCAACATAAATGGTGGTGGTGTTTCAAGCCACCACGTTTTGGGAGTAGTTTGTTATATACCAATAAGTAATCATACAAATAGCATAATATAGAATTGTAATCATCTGCATCGTAGTTTCTGCCTTAATTTCTGTTTATTTTTGGCATATCACCCATCTATCTCTGACAGTTCACAATTATATTTTGTGGTTTTAGTAGTATACATAAATTTTGTGTCTATTTCTTTTGGCATTTCATCTCCCATTTTTGCATTTCATAATCTTCATGAAGATCATTAAAACTGAGTAATAATTCAAGCAGTCCATTTACCTGTGCTTTTGGTAGACCTGAGAAGCTTGCCAACTGTTTCAGATACTTCATCTGAAAATACTTACATCTGTGCCTGCCACAAATATGTGAAGAGTATCTCCTGGAGGACTTTGCGCAGGGTCTGTGGAGACTCAGTCCCTCTACTGAAGGACTTAACTCGGAAAGAATCCTTTGGGTGCTGAGTCACTGAAGACTTGTATGTACAGAGAAAACAGCATATTTAAAGTAGTTTCAGTTCTTGGTGTTTTCACCTCAGATGTGCTCTGCTCAGTGTCAATAGTAGTTTTTGGAGTGGAAATCTAGGGTTAGACTTTCAACTGGATTGAGAATAGTTTGGAGAAAGGCAGAGAAAAAACCTGAATATAATGAATGAAATGAAAATAAGCATGCTGCAGCCCAAATGAAGGAATGGCAAGGTCTTGTAGGCTGGTGAGTGTCTGGTTGCACCTTGGAATTTGTTGAAAAGTCACTGAAACCTATGGTAATGGTAAGGAGGCTGAGGATGTAATTGCAGCGATAGTGGGATTGGCATGGAGTGGATAATATTTTTGAATATTTGGGCTTTTTCATCCATCCCTGAAACTTGACCTTGATGAATACACTTTCTAGATTACTGTCTCCTCATTTGGAAAGGGAGTAATAACTTCTGCCTGACCTGATAGTGAAAATGCCCTGAAGATGAGGTGATTTGTGGCAGGGAAGATGATAGGAAGAGCTTGGAGGGTTTGGGTTTTGTTGTTTTAAGAATCTTGACAATTTCATGCACATATACAACATTTCTTGATCATATCTACTTTAAATTCCCTTTACCCATTGGACCCCTACGTGTCCTCCCACCTTCATATCCTCCTCTTTTTTTTTTATTACCCACTGAATGTAATTAGTGCACGTGGGTGTGGGGCCATCCACTTGAGAGTGGGCAACCTATCAGTGGCCACAGCCCCAAAGAAAAATGAGTCCCTGTTTCCCAGCAGCCATAATTTGGCAACATCTCCTCAAGGTAGGGGTGAAGCCTCTCTCCCTTATCCATGCTGGAATGGTGATTGGTTTGATTATGTTTGTGCAGATCTTTTGCAGGTAACCATAGCTGCAGTGAGTTCATGAGTGCAATAGCCATATCCTGTCCAGAAGACAGCATTTCACAGCCTTCCTCACCCATCATCTGGCTCGTAAAATCTTTCCAGCCCCTCTTCCATAATGTTCCTTTGGGTGGGTGGTGTTCATCTAATTGTCCCGTTTAGGGCTGACATTCAACAGTCACTCAGTCTCAGCACTTGAGTAGTTGTGAATTTTTTCATTAACCTGTTCATGAACAGTTCTAAATACAAACACACTTTGTAACTGTTCCTGAAATTTTTGAAAAGTAGAAACCAAAGGGGAAGAAGTATAACCACAAAGGAGACAGAGGGGTGTGTCTTATTGAGCTGTGAAGTAACCAAGAATCTTAGTTAAGAGAGATCCTAATGAAAGCAGTAGCCAAGAGCCATTGTTACTGGTTTCCTGGGGTTGATTTCATTACATCACCATCACAAAGAATGTTGAACAAGGACACAGAAGGGCGGGCAGCCAAGCAAGCAGGCTTTCATTGAGAGGTGGATTGACAGCTCCCTGCAGAAGAAAGAGTCTCAAAAAATGGATTGCTCGGAATTAGGATGGGGCCAGTTTGGTTCCCACCTGATGGAAATTAAGCATTGAGTTAGAATGAGCCTAGTTGGCTAATTTAAATATGTATAGGGGCTTCTGATTGGTCAGAAAGAGAGGATAGACAATGAGGGCGGATTCAGAACAAGTTGACCAAAGAGGAGGAAGAACCTAGGAGTGAAAAGAGCAGAGGCTGGTGATGAGTCAGGGCCTTTGTTCCTTTGGCTTGTCACTAATTGCTTCTACTTCTTTGTTCTGAGTTTACTACTGGCTTTACCAGGGAATATAGATACTTTTGTTTTGGGGGCCCTGCAGCCCTGTCTATAAAATGGGGGTGCCTTCCTATGAATCCCTATTACCATCTTGAATTTTGCATAGCAAGATGGCCATGACACATAAATTTCTACTAGCAGATGGTCTGGTATCATATATCTCCTGCCTGCCTCCTACAAGTCTGGATAGCAGTTGTCAAGACAGAAATCAAGTTGTTCTATTCTGATTATTCTTGCAATTACCAGTACAGGGTCCTAGTCAGAATGTGAGACCCTAAAATGATTTAATGACCTGTGTGTATCATGCATATTACATATTGTCTTTCCCATTTTTAGCACTTTCCTAGTTGCAGAACACCAAGTGGAATTCACTTTCCTCCATTTTAGGCATTAGCACCCCCCCCCAGTTAAAAAAAGGCACCAGCAGCTAAGTATCTGAAATACTGAATGAACATGGGTTATATGAGTTCTCTTGCCTTTGACTTTTCTCTGAGTGCATAACTATGTGAACCAGTTTTTCTAGGCAGTGGCATTTGAAAAGGGGGACCCCTTTTTTTTTTTTTTTTTTTTTTTTTTTTTTTTTTTTTTTGCCTTGTAAAGCCGTAACAGAAATCTTACTGATCTTCAGGATCTGCTAGCAGAGTCTGTACCAAATGCCATGAGCTGTGTGCCTTCTGCTGTTTCACTGGCAATGATGGATTTCTTTCCTGCCATATATATAACTGGACACAGTTTGAGAAGATGCCTCATAAAATCTCTTTTCTCAGTATTTACTGATAACATTGCTTAAGAATGTAGTTGTTGCCTACTGTTTCCCCTTTTATCACTTGAGAGTAGGAAAGCCCAGACCTGGCTCTGTTTCCTTCAGCTGTGAGCATTTTAATGAAGATGAGAGCTTGAGGGAAAGCCTCTTGTTTCTGGATCTCTTTTTAGAGTCCTGCTAATGGTAGTAGTATTGAGGCTAAAGTCTGTCGCATACATGATATCCTTTGATCCTAGGTGACTTCGTAGAGTAGGGTTTGAGTTAGCATCTTCACAATACAGAGATTGAGATTCTGAACTTAGAATGAGTTGCTTAAGGAACACACCTAGTGAGTGTTAAACTTGTAAAGTGAACCTGAATTTTTCGCATCTTCAAAGAGCAAGCCTTTGTCCATAATCTTAAGCCAGCCACAAGCCTTTAGTTGTATGTGAAATTGTGAGACTCTCTTCTGTAAAGGTTACTCTCTACTAGGCAGTCCAAACATACATTACTTAAATTCTTTTTCTTGGGCCAGTGAGGTGACTCAGTGGATAAAGCTGCTTACTGTTAAGTTTTACAACTACATTTGATTCCTATAACCCACATAGTAGAAGGAAAGAACTGACCCCCACAAGTTGTCTTCTGACCTCTAAACACATACTTGCCCCACGACTCACACCAACAAATAAATAAGTAATAATTTTTTAAGGTTGTCAAAAATTATTTTTCCCCTTGTAATGGATGTGGTAGGCAGCTTTGCAGGGGGAGGCTGTCGCTGAAGGAAGCTGACTTTGCTGACCAGTTCCTAAGTGCCTAGAAGCAGTGCAAACACCCTGAGCTCTTAGTATCTTGCCTTTTTAGCTCTTTACTGCTAGGAACTTAGTGAGCTCCTGATTTATAAGCAGGGGCCTTTCCTGGGAACAGGGAGAATCCTCTTGAGGAGATGTGCTACTTGGCTGCCATCTCCCTGGTCTCAGGTGACTGATGAGGCATTCATAGGGTAGGGAAGGGGAGTGCTTGTTAATTGAAAGAATATCATTCTTGCTGTTATTTTGCCATTTCCTTCTCAGTGGGCTACCTTGAGAATGGAGAGAGGAGCCAAGGAGAAGAACCATCAGCTTTACAAGCCTTACACCAACGGTAGGATTGACTCTGGAGCCATAACCTAAAAGAGCCTTTGAAATAATGTCCTAAATCCTCTTACGTGTACAGATGTAGTCCATTTATTGCTGCTATAACAAAATACCTGAGGGTGGATATTTTGCAGAGGAAAAAAGTGTGACTCATAATTCTGGTAGATACAAAACTTAGGCAGGCACTGGAGAGATAGATCAGTGGGTAAAATGCTTGCTGTGCAAACATGAGAACCTGTATAAAATCTAGATCCAGCCACAGATCCTTGTAAAATCACAGTGCTGGGGTACAAAGACAGGCAGATTTCTAGAGCACACATGTCAGCCAGTCTAGCTAGTTGGTAAGCCTCAGGTTCAGTGAGACCCTGTCTCAGAAAACAAAACCTGTGTATGTATGTGGTGGAGAGTTACAAAGGCAGACACATGACATTGACCTTTGGCCTCTGCACATGCCCATGTACCTGCACATACATCTTCACATACATATGTATACACAAACATAGCATACACAAAGAAAACCCAGGTAGAATGCCATTGGTGAGGGCTCCCTGGATGTGTCATCATATGGTAGATGGCACCACATGGCAGGAGTGTAAGAGAGAGCAGGAAGGTGGGAGAGGAAAAGAAGGACCTGGCTTACATTTTTTAAAAACAACCTGATGTAAAGAGCTGGGCATGGTAGCACATACTTATGATCTCAGCACTTGGGAAATATGGGAAGGAGGATCAGGAGTTCAAGGCCAGCCACTGTTACTGAAACCTTGACCCCAACCAACAGAAAAACCATGCAAACCTCAATCTAACCATCTGGGAACCCACTTCTACAAACCTTACCCATTTGGAGAACTTCTATGCTGTGCTTCTCTGCACTAGAGCAGCAGTCTCAAGACCCACTTTCTTATAATCTGTCAAAAGTTCTTTTTTGGTGTGTTTTGAGACAGGGTCTTACTGTGTAACCCAGGCTGAACTTGAACTCACAGAGATCTACCTGCTTCTGCCTCTGGTGCTGGTGTACCAGCAGGTCTTTGACAGTTTTATACAAGCGTATAACGAATTTTAGTCCTTTTCATCTCCAATTACCATATCTCATCCCCTCTGCTGAAACCCCCTTTTCCCCCCAACAAGTTTCCCTCCTACTTTCATTATTGTGTGTGTGTGTATGTGTCCGTGTGTGTGTGTGTGTGTGTGTGTGTGTGTGTGTGTGTGTGTAAGTGACCCACTGAGTTTAAATAGGGTTCCCAGCATAAGCACAGATGAGAGGTTATATACCATAATATGGTAGGCTCTACCTCTTAAAGACCCAGCATTTCTGAGTACTGTCATGTTGATGACTATACTGTGCTTAAATCTCTGAAGGGCTTATTTAGCCCATATGCAAACCATGGCACATGCACATGCAGTGAAAAATGTAGTCTGCACACACATGTTCTCATGCAGCATGTTGCTTGAACAAGGGGTATTGTTTTTTGCAGGAATCATTGCAAAAGATCCCACTTCACTGGAAGAAGAAATCAAAGAAATTCGTCAAAGTGGTAGTAATAAGGCTTTGGACAAGACACCAGAGTTTGAGCTCTCTGACATTTTCTACTTTTGCCGGAAAGGAATGGAGACTATTATGGATGACGAGGTGACAAAGAGATTCTCAGCAGAGGAGTTGGAGTCCTGGAATCTGCTGAGCAGAACCAATTATAACTTCCAGTATATAAGCCTCCGGCTTACTATCCTCTGGGGCTTAGGAGTGCTGATTCGATACTGCTTCCTTCTGCCGCTCAGGTAAGCTGGGCCTGCTGAGAGCCACACATGAGCTACTCTGGCTTAGCTTGTGCATGCCCTTCCCACCTCACTCTGCCTTGTTTTCCATTTAGAGAAAAGTACAGCAGGTTCTTATACTGGCTAGTCCATTTGACCCTTGGAAGGGCACCTGGGGACTATCCTTTTAGACTCTTAGGTTCTTTGCATATCAGACAAGAATGGTTGGGCTTCCTAAAGGCCAGGTGCTTTTTGAGAGGGACTGAACACAGGACAGGGAGCATCATGTACGTGGCTCCTCTTCCTTGGGCATGGCCTTCTTTGAAGCTTGCCTCTGGTATAGAACTGATATTAATCTCTGCTTCTCTGCTGTGTGCTATTCTCAGTGTGTTTCGTCAGATGTCGGTGCCTTTCAGTTCTACCGCCCATTGCTTCATAGAGAGGCTTTGCTTCTGCCAGGGTGTTCAGCCAAAGCAAAGTAAGACAGGTGCCAGGTGCAGCAGCTGCCTGATGCTGAAGAGGTAGTATCAGCTGAGCGCTTCCACAGTTCTCTGTCAGTTTGTTTCAGCCCTCTTCTAGTACAAGTGCCTCCTCACAATTCTAGCAGCAGCTCTTGTCTGGGTCTTCATGGTCAAGTCTTAGGGGGGTTTTCGTGATTGCTCCTTTCATTTCCACATGCTCACTGTATGACTAGTTGGTTTGCTGTTTTAACTTGTCTTCCTCTTGCAGGATTGCTCTGGCATTCACAGGAATTAGTCTCTTGGTGGTGGGTACCACTATGGTGGGCTACCTGCCAAATGGGAGGTGAGTGGAGTGTGAATGTCCCATGTGTTGATAGCTTCTTCTGGGCATGGTGACTGGCACTGGAGGCAACCACTGCTTTGGATACCAACCCTACTCGTGGTTAAAGTAACCCTGTAGTCACAGTGGTGTCTACAGTAGCAGCTTTTGTTTTGTGATTGTTACGTGATAGTAGCTGTGTGTACTTCTTGCCATCCAGCCCTTACCATCTTTCCATTTTAAAAGTGTAAAAGGAAGAAGCTGTAAAAGAGCCCTACCTCCAGTGTTAACAGGTTTTTATAGCAGCTCTTTTGTTTTGCTGGATTCAAACCCAGGACCTTTTGTGCTCTGGGCAAGTCCTCTGTTGTTTCGGTACCCCCATCTGCAAGATGTTTAGTTGCCTGGTTTTGCTAGCTCCATAATTGACAAACAATTTGGAGCATAGGTAGATTTTGTCTGTTTTTTGGGTTTTTTTTTAAAGGAAACTTTTTTGGGGCTCACAGACCTCTGTTCTACCAAGGCTGATGAAGAAGTTATGTTCTCACCTTGGACTGCTTCTGGGGGGCCAATGATAGGACTCTAGGAGCCCTCTGACCTACCTCTGCTGGTAGTTACAGGATTATGAATCCTCAGTTACTGACTTAAGTGAATGTCATCAAGTCCTGTTGCATTTCTTTATATGCTGTTTGTATGTGTGGGTATAAAGACGCTGAAACATTGCGTGTTTTACCATGTGCACGGGTCACTCTGTAAGTACTTTGCACACTTTTAAGTGGTTGGAGTCAGCAGTTTGTCGTTTTCCTACACATAACCCCAACTTTCCTGTTGTTGCAGATTTAAGGAGTTCTTGAGTAAACACGTTCACTTAATGTGCTACCGGATCTGTGTTCGAGCCCTGACAGCCATCATTACCTACCACAACAGGTGAGGGAACTTTATACTAACAGAGAAGGAGGCTCTTCTTTAGCGTTCGGTTAGAGCTAGTGACGCTTGTGAAGCAATGTGTCCCAGTGAACTGACTCACATCGTTTTTGTTGCTCTACATACATTTTACATCCAGGAAAAACAGACCAAGAAATGGTGGCATCTGTGTGGCTAACCACACATCTCCCATTGATGTGATTATTTTGGCCAGTGATGGCTACTATGCCATGGTAAGTAGTCTCTTTTTGTGGTTGTCTTGAGTTGTAGACATCTTTAGGCTGGTCAGGGCTAAGAGGCCTCTAGGCCTTCCACAGGCATCTGAAGAGTTCAGAGAGGTGAACATACTTTTTTATATATAGGCCCCAACCTAGATTGTCACCCTTGGGATCGCCTTAGAACTGGATAAGCTGTTCTGAGCAGATTGGTCAAGAGGATGTCTGGGTAGATTATACCTTCAAGGCCCCAGACTGCGGAGGTTACTGAAGTGGGAGGGAGGGAAGCGCTTGAATACTGGAGTAGGGGGCATTTGAGAAAACCCAGGGAGAGGCATTTTATACAGTTACTCAGTTTTATTATTTTTAGGGTTTTCACTTACATGTGTAATTATAATAGTCTCTGGTATACTGGTTAAAAGGAGAAATTTAGGAATCAGTCATCTGAGTCGTGGTTTCTTGATAGTGAGAAACCTACAATTACTGAAACACTAGAGGGTATGAAGCTGGGCTCTGTATTTTGTGGGACCTGGGGCTTTCTCCTCAGAGTCGGGATTTATGTGAGGATGGCTTCACTGCTAATTATTCCTTTGTCTGAATTATTAGGTGGGTCAGGTGCACGGGGGCCTCATGGGTGTGATTCAGAGAGCCATGGTGAAAGCCTGCCCACATGTCTGGTTTGAACGGTCTGAAGTGAAAGATCGCCACCTGGTGGCTAAGAGGTAAATGGGCAAAGTGCTATTAAGCAGAAAAATGTTTTAGGGGTAGTTATCCCTTTACACTGAGCCTATGCAGTTCTCATAACAAAATTTTTCCTGAAATAGAACATATAAAAAGTATGTAAATAAACCTAAGTATTATTTACCAATTAGTTAGGTTTTCATCATAGTCTTCCTAATAAACAGGAACTAAGGTGGGTTTTTTGGGGGGCGGGTGTTCTTGTTTGCTTGCTCGTTTTTGGTGGCCCTGGAATCTTGACTATGTAGGAAAATGTACTATCACTGTGATATACTTACTGCAAGGTCAAAGAACTTTTATTGCTATCTGCAACCTATAAGGTCACTGATCCTTTTATTTATTTTTTGTTCTAAAGACTGACTGAGCATGTACAAGATAAAAGTAAGCTGCCTATCCTCATCTTCCCGGAAGGTACAAAGTGACTTGGGTGTGGGAACCTGGTACGCCTGGGAACCACGCCCCTGAGCCCTTGTTGGGGTATCTGTTTTCTCTGGATGATGTTGGGTCCCCTTTGGATTGTGGGAGAGACTAAAAACTTGGGTAAATTGAGAAGTTAGACTGAGTTTCATAATGTGTACTTCCTCGCTGCAGGGTCCTTTCTGTAATATTGCTGACAACTGCCCTTCCAGCCTCTTGTAGAGTACTCCCTCAGTTCTCCTGAGTGCTCAGTGTCCCTGCCCCACACCTCAGCTGGGATGTGTTAGTCAGGGACAGTAGCCTGATAAACAAGAAAAGGAGGAAGTACTGCCATTTGCCCAACTCTTTAGTGTTCATTTGTGAGTTGGGGTGATGGCAGGCTTATGCTGTTTAGGGATTATTTTTAGTGCTAAAGAAACCCTTGGGTAAAAGATGAGAAAGGAACAGTATTTTCTTGCCTGTATTTCAGGAACCTGCATCAATAACACATCAGTGATGATGTTCAAAAAGGGAAGTTTTGAAATTGGAGCCACTGTTTACCCTGTTGCTATCAAGGTACAACACCTTTGAGACTTCCTAGAATGCATAAGTGGGAATTGGTGTCCCAGTCATGGTTACTTCACCCTCTCTGGTGGCACTGCCAGGGGCTGACCATGTGAGGAAGAGAGTGCTGGTGGGATCCACAGGGAGACGGGTTAGATCAGAAGCTACCAAGTTTCATAAGCTGAGCCTACATGAGCTGGGTGGGTGTCCCTCTCTCTACCTGGTTTTCATAGACCTCACTGGTGTAGGGCACTCGACTTGCACAAGTAGCTTGCTGCTGGCAGTGGTGGAGGGGCTATAAGCTGGATTAATACATTGAGTGGGAACGAGAGAATGGATGGATCCTTGTCACACTGCTGTGCAGCTCCACTACTTTGGGTTACAATGTCATCTCATTCCAACAGTGATGGTGGAATGGATCGTACGAGCTCCTCCACCTCCTGCCCATCAGGAAGGAACTTGTCCTTCTCAGGAACCCCCCTCCCCCCCAAGACTCCCTGGAGGCATGGGATGTATTACGTGAATAGTCATGGGGATTATAATATGCACGATTATAATAGTATGTATTATGTAATATTAATAATTTCTAGTACTTGCTTATATGCTGGGTCAGTCAGTCAGCCTGACTGTTTTTCTTTTTCCTCTTGCTAATACCCTTCTGATGTGGATCTGTATTATTTCTGTAAGAATTTAGACTTGTTATTATTCCAAAAATAAGCTGTTTTTCAGTACTTAAGTCCAAGTTTCAGAGTAGGGTCAGCAGTTGCAAACCCCTGCCTTTTCAAGGATCTGTCTGCAGAGTGTAATGGAGATGTGTGTTGCTTGGTTTTCAGCTTGCCAGCATAGCTTTTGGGTAGGCAGACAACCTTCTACTTAGCTAAGCGGAGTGCAAGTTAGGCTAGAAACTGAGTACTGACTGCAGGCTCATTAATAGACAGACAGGCTTGGGCTGCCTAACTATTAGGTGGAACATAGCTCTTATCCATTGTGGACAAGGAACCATGGGAGAATTAAGACTCCTACAAAGTAAAATACATATAACCTTTCAAATTCTGCTCCACTGACAGTTTTTAGGTTTTTTTTAAAGACTCTATAAGTAACTGAACTTGGATAACCTTAGCAGTGACAAGGCTTTTTATCATATTTCTACTAAAATTAAATTACTATTTGATTTTGAGAAGGTTACTGCTATTTTCTCTAGTGTCTCCCCAGTGTAGAAGAGAATTGGCCCTAAACAAGGAGTTGGTCTCTTGCTCCTAACATAGCCTCTGTTCATGTGCTTATAAAATACAACAGAAAAATCAGTTTTTGCTTTCAAAGAGAGTCTCCCTGTGTTACCCAGGTTGATCATGAACTCCTGGGCACAAAGTCATCTTTTACCTCAGCTTTTTGAGTAGCTGGGATGACAGGTGTACTCCAGCATGTCTGGCTAGGTGCACTTCCTTCGTGGTCATGCACCTTACATTAGTATTAAAGTTTTATTCTCCCTTCTTTTTGGTATTTTAAAGTGCATTCATTCATGAAGGCATATGCAGTTAAATCTAAATTTCTTAAATTCTCTTAAGGCTAAATTTCTTTCTTTCTTTTTTTTTTGGTCTTTTTGAGACAGGGTCTCTCCCTGTATTCCCAGCTGGCCTGGAACTCCCTATGTAAACCAGGCTGGCCTTGAACTCACAGAGATAAGCCTGCTTCTGCCTCCCATGTGCTGGGATTAAAGGCATATGCCACCATACCTAGCTAAGTCTAAATTTCTTAGTCTCTGTGTTTCTATAGTTAGGACCATAATATCAACATAATTGTCTTGTTTTTATTCTGAGATTAAAAACTTAGGCTGGAAAGGCTTAAAAGATTGGACCGTTGGGCCAGGCCTGGTGGTACACGCCTATAGTAGCACCTTAGCTCTGAAGGATAGCTCTTGAAAGTCTCCTTTTATTATTTCTCCATTGTACATTCCGACAGTTGCTTTGTGATTCTGTCTGTCACGGCTGTCCAAGCATTTGGCGGCAGCAGTTCATTCCTTTGGCTCAGCCTGCCTTCTTTCTCAAGGGTCTAGGTCTTCCTGTCACTTCTGATAGAACTTCTCTCACCAGGCTTTCCTGCCACTGAGATTACTATTTGATATTGAAACAATGATTCTGCAGCTGCAGTCACATTTCCCACAAAATGCCACTGAGACAGCCTTTTTCCTCAATTAAAGTCACTGACAAACACAAGTGCCTAATACTCCTACCTTGCTCAGACCTCATGAGACTCTTGGTATGTAGCCATTTGCTGGTGGATGCTGGTGATTTAATTAGTATAGGGTTTTCTGCCCAACTAGATAATTTACTCTATTGGAATTTTACATACGTAGTTGTATTTACAGTTACTTAAATTGCCTCTGACAAAGTTGGTGATTATGTAAGAAGGTTCCTTTGTCAGGAGGTCCATTACATATGTACATGGGTTGATGCCCTGGTATTGAAGCCAGCTCTTGTTAGAGGGGAAAGGATACATGAAATAAGCATAGTAGAACCTCTGTAATTACTGAGCCTAGAAAATGGGTATTTGATAGGACTCCAGTGTGCTCTGTTTCTGAGTACTATAATAACAGATATTTGCCTATGAGTGCAGTGTGAGGCTGCCCGAGGCAGGAACAGTTTATTTGAGTGTGATGACCTGCACAGGAGCTGCAGGCAGCTGGGTCAGAGCCCTTGGCTGTAGAACTGTTTCAGTAGTATTCACGTAGGGCCAGGAGCGGCTCTAACCTACACCTTGCCCCCAAATACTTGTCAGAAGTAGTCATTTATTACATTCAGCCTAGTGTTCTTTTGCAGTATGACCCTCAGTTCGGTGATGCCTTCTGGAACAGTAGCAAGTATGGGATGGTGACATATTTGCTGAGAATGATGACAAGCTGGGCCATTGTCTGTAGCGTTTGGTACCTGCCTCCTATGACCAGAGAGGTAGGTGTTTTCAGTTTTCAGTGCAGTTCTTCATGTGCTGCGGTAACCAGGAGTCTGGCTGAGTGCTTTCATTCATTCTTTGGTACAGAAAGATGAAGATGCCGTGCAATTTGCTAACAGAGTGAAGTCTGCTATTGCCCGGCAGGGAGGACTGGTGGATCTGCTGTGGTAAGTCCAGTGAACATGTACTCCTGAAGCAAAGGCCCCCTCCCTGGCACTGAGAATAAAACCTGGCAGCCCTAGAGAACGGATGGCAAAAATCCTTTCCCCTCGTTTCAACCTTTAAGTACTCCCTTGCCCTTAGGAACATGGAGGTGGAGTCATGGCATTTGTCCAGCCTATCCAGGCTTCTAGATAGTGCTTGCCTCTTAAATGGGCACAATCTGCCTCTGGTCTGGAAACCTCAGAGGGAGAAGCGGAGCGTCCTCTGACTTCCTTAGAAAGGCAGACATCATATTTATCATTATCTTGCTACTTTCTAGTACAGGAGGTAACAAACAGTTTTTGAAGAATTGGTAAGTGTTTTAAGCTTCAAACTATATAGTGTCTTTGCACTGACCACTTGTGCCATTGCAGTATGAAAGAAACCAAAGAGAATACATAAATAAGTGAGCGTGGTCTCTTAGAGGAACCGGTGTCAGGCAGGATGTGAGCGTTTGTCGTTTGTCCCACAGGCCTGAGTTGGCTGCTGTTATCCTGGAGTCTGAGGTCATTACACTTGAGGTGATAGAAGCAAGGGGGTAAATGCTGGTTCACATAGACTTCCCATGCTCCAGGGACTTTTGGAAAGTGAGGGCCAGCTATGCAGGACATTTGACTAAGCAAGCATGGCACACACCTTTAATCCCAGCACTTGGGAGGCAGGGGCAGGTAAATGACCTCTGAGTTTGGGGCCAGCCTGGTTTACCTATGTAGCAAGTGAGACCCTGTCCTAAAAACAAATAAAAAAGAAAGCGTAGACATTCTAATTTTAATCTGAATTCCTTATTCTCAGGTAGGAACATGGTCCCAGATTATGGTCTTTTAAAAGAATCTAAATGTCAGCCAGATGTCGTACATACCTATAATCCCAGCTCCCAAGAGGTGGAGGCAGGAGGATCCTGAGGTAGAGGCCAGCTTCGGATGTGTAATGAATGTATCTTTAAAAGGGGTGGGGGGGGGGATGCTGTAGAGGTGGCTCAGCACTTAAGAGCACTGACTACTCTTGGCAGAGGACTGAGGTTCAATTCCCAGCACTCACATGGTGGCTAACAACTATCTGTAACTCCAGTTCCAGGGGATCTAACGCTCTCTTCTGAACTCCGCAGGCATTGCACGACATGGGTGCACCCACCTACATGCAGGCATTATACTCATACACATAAAATTAAAAAAAAAATATTTTGAAAAATATAAAACAAGGCCAAAAAAGTGTTTACTGAGCACTTACTGTATGCCTGACACTGCTACAGCAACCCTATGGATAGCAAAGTCGCTATTCTCTATAGTTGAGAAATTGAAACTCAGAGAAGTCAAAACATGTATTCCAAAGTAAATTCTGGAGCTGAATTTTTAACCCAGACCTGACAGACTTCTAGAGCTATAGAGTTTAGTCACTAATCATGTCCCCTGCCATTAAAGAGTACAAACCAGAAATTGGGAGTGGGCTTAGGTTTTCATCCAGCATTGAAGGTGGTGATAATTCTGGAGTCTTAGTGAGGAGTGGAGGTACAGCGGGTGGTATTGGGACAATAGAGGAACAAACTCAAGCCTAGAGGATTTGTTTGGGGATACTACAAGAAACTGAGAGGAAGAAGGCTGTACAGTGAGGATACGGAGAGCCCACCAAGAAATTTCTGCTAGTTGGCTTATAGTGCCATCCCTTGAACACAGACAAAATGAGAGCTTGCATTTTCCTGGGGCTGGTAGTCCCTACCATGCACTAAGCTCTGAAATTGATCCCAGCACCACAAACAAAGAAAATAAACCCCCTTTGTATAGCCTCTCTTGTCAGTTCTTGGCATGGATTTGAAGTATCCTGGAACTGAAATTTACAGTAATATTTTACAGATGCAGTGAGGCTCCTTTACTGTGGTGCCAGATTGCCTTTTCATCCTTTGTAAGGTGAAAGTGGGTGCTAAAGATGTGAGCAGGTACATAGTGCCTTGAACACAAGTTGTGAATGCAGACTCAAGTTTGAGCAAGGCTTACAAGGACAAAGTGTGGTATCCAAGAGTGTCCGTGTGTCCTGCTAGACATCCCGTCTGCCACACTTCAGAGCCACCCATGGGGGCTTCTGTGCTGTTCCATTGACTTCTCTCTTTTCAGGGATGGTGGGCTGAAGAGGGAGAAGGTAAAAGACACATTCAAAGAGGAGCAGCAGAAGCTGTATAGCAAGATGATTGTCGGAAACCACGAAGACAGGAGCCGGTCCTGAGTCTGCATCTCGTGCTAGCTGGAGCTACCGCCACCTGATCCTGACACGTGAGCCAGCTGGAGTTGTTGCTATGCAGCCTGTACCACCATCCCTACCACCCATTGCTGCATCCCTCCAGACTCTGAGCCCTCAGGTTGTTCTGGATCCCAGGAGTCCAGTTTCTTCAGAGCTCCGTGACCTGCCTGCTGTCCTGACTGGAATGCTGCTAGGTGGGGCTCCCTAGGACAAGATGTCTTGTTCCTTTATAGTAAACCCATTGGAGGAATGCCATTAAAGCGACTCTACCTGTGTGCTTTGCAGGTTAGCCAGTGAGAAGATGGGCCCCATTCTTCCCCTCTGGGGGGAGGTTGGGTGTTGGTGTATAGTGACATCCACGTGCTGGGGGAAAGTCCGTGGCTTCAGAAGAAAGGCATTGCTGAGGTAGGCATCTGAAAATACCCCCAGCCTTGAAGCTATTAGACTGAGCAAAAAGAAAACTAAACTACCCACAGGGGTATTCATTTCATTCAGTAAATGAAGCTTTAAGTTCTTGGTTCCTGCTTTCGAGGAATTGCCAGAAAGGATAGGAAGGGGCCAGCAAGCTTCCTTGTAAACACCAGGAGTCTCTACGTTCCGACTCCAGTCCTAGCCTAAATTTCCCATGTGACTTGCTGTTTATTTAATGAATGTCTCAGTTTCCCTGTCTGTCACATGGACTTGGCAGAGAAAAGGTAATGATACCTACCTCACAGGGTTGTTGTGGGGATTCAAGTGATAGTGTATGTGAAGGACATGTAATGTTTGGCTGCACAAGGATAGCGTCACAGAATATGGTGAGACGAGGTCAGAGTTCACAACTATTGCCCAGGGTTTTGGACTTGTTTTGTGAATAAATAAAACTGGATATTGAATGAATTTAGGGACCTCCATTCATTCTCTGAGGACTGTTTCTTACCAGTTACAGCTGTCATACTTGAATATAACCCTGGACTGCAGGGTCTCCTTTTGACTTCGGAATGAGGATAGTATTGCTCAGGAGGAGGTAAACTTTCAAACAGTGTGTCTGCACATCTCTGTAGAGTTTCTAACCTAGACACAGGTTTCTCCCCATTTGGGGGTCATGGCAGCTGTGTGTGAAATACTGTGTGGAGGAGGGTGGAAAGAACCTGGGCAGGCAGTCTGGAAGTGAGGACAGTGGGAAACAGCAAGTATTTGGGGGGTGCTGGGAAGGACTGGTGACTGAGGCAGGGAGGAGGGTGGGTATGCTGCTGGTTTCTATGACTAGAGAGGAAATTACAGGCCTGTGAGCCACCATTGTAGTCACTGGGGGCTGATCCATTTGGAGGCTTATCAACGTTAATTTCTTCCAAAGCGATAACCTTCTGATCAGTGTCCCCTTGTTCCTTAATGAATGGCACAGTTATGGCACTTTTTAGGATTTTGTAGGGATCACATCTTCCAGGTCACATGGGATTTAGGTTGTGCTACGAGTGCAGCTTGGCTCCTGAGACTGTAAACTGAGGCCACTATCTGCTTGGGCACTGGGATGTCACTCCCCACTTTGACCTCACATAGCCTTACATTTCTTCTTGCTGCTCCGTTGCCAATAGGAAACACTTACCAGACACTTGGAACTGTAAGAACAGTCTCTTATGCTCTTATGAACTGTTTTACAAAATGTTCAAGAATAAAAAATGTTTCCTCTTGTATAGGATGTTTGTAGTGTTGAAATGCCAACCAGAATGATCTTTTAAAATTGTTCTCTGAG